TATTATTCAAACTTATAAATACAATAATTCATTTAAGTCTTGTGAATGCTCTACTTTTACACTTCATGAATCAGCAAAAACTGATCCTTTATGATAGAAAACTATCAGTTGATTTGACATCTTGAATAAAGTAAAAAGTAAACGTGATTTATAAACACCAAAAAGTGTGCAAATTGTATTGATAAAATAATTAAACTGAATAGTCTGATATGCTAACCAGTATTTTTAACAGGAAGTTTCCATTGATCTATCTTGAAATTCCATTTATGATGACCAAGATGATAATAAATACCTGACTGAAAATCTAGTGCCTTGAAAAAATAATGCGACCTCAAAATTGATTTGAATTTACATGCCTATTCTTACCGTAACTGAAACATTTTACCCAGTAACTATACCAATCTTGTGGTAAGTGGTCTGACATGTGAAGCTGTCACACTGACTTAAGCACTTTCAAACAGTGAATGCCGAGTTCTAACGCCGTTCTATCAATTTCGGCTACGGAAACAACCCTGTACCATTAGCTATAATGCAATAAGTGTGGCTAAATCTAGCAAATAAAATTGTACCAGGTAAATTATTGAAGTTATTTACAGTATCATTATATCAAGTGGTTCAATATGTAGTTACAAACCATTGTAATCAAAATGGAAAAAATGTACTGGACAATCGACGTAGAAGCTTGCACATAAATGCATCAGTTCAAGTTGCCACACTTCACAGTAGTAGACAAAGAACAGGGGGATACAAAAAGAGTGATATAAAAATAGACAAAATGGTATAACAGAATAAACAACCTGAAGTTAACGGTTAGTGAGAGTGTCAAAGCTTCAGAAGTCGTCAAGGAGTGAATACATCTTCACCACTGTGACCGATTGCTGGCCATCTCAACAAGAGTCCTCAACCACTGATTCCTTTCGTCCTGTGGACCCCAACCTGGTAATCTTCATCTTCCCACACAACTCAGACCAACAGTAAGAAACCTCATCGAATGATGCCACGTGTCGGTCTGACCGCCCCGAACACTCTTCCAACCTAATCTAACTTCCCCTAACATGGCACCTCGAGGTAGGTGGGGACTTGGCATAGGCAACACATTTTTAAACTATCTCAGTCGACTAAGGTTCACAACGTCACCAATCGACTTGCCTGTCTTGCCTAGCATCCTTCGCCTGACCTCAACATTACTCATTTGGTGATCTCACCAAATGCGAGTAATGTTGCGAAGACACCTACGATCAAACAGCTGTGACCGCTTCTTGTCTTCTACTTTTAACGACTGTCTCAAAGCCGTACAACAGGACAAAACGAACTGTAGTCCAGTCCAGTATACTTGTCCTTTGATAGATAGTCAGATATCTTGCCAGTGGGCGCCGAAGGTGATGCATGTTGAGAAATGCCAAACAGGCCTTCTGTAACTGAGCTGAGATCTCGTCAACGACTAACCCTTTCGAGGTGATACAACTGCTTAGGCACTTACACGCTTGGGTGAGTTCGAGTAGAGAGCTTTGACAAGCATAGTACACCCTTATTACCGTCTTCACATTTAAACACTGCCACAACACCTCACTGTCGACAGAGTCGGATGCCGCCTTCAGGTCGATAATTATGGCCATTGTCGGCCGCCGGTAAGTATGCCTCTGTTCTACAACCGGTCGGGGGGTAAAATCTGGTCGATGCAGCCTTGTTCATGCCTAAAACGTGCCTGGTTTTCTCGAGCTTGCTGTTCTTCAGCTCCAGTTAGGTGTCAGATAACTACGAACACCAGGATCTTGGACACCATTAGTCAAACTAATTCCCCTATGTTTGTGGCAGGAAGGCTTCTTTCTCTTTCCTCAGAGTGAGGTAATCAATGAAGTTGATCGATCTGACGGCACTACCTCTGATTCCCATCCACCACCTAGTACCTCCGTCACTAATTAGCAATTTCCTACCACCATTCTTGAAAACGTCGGGTGGTGGACTGTCAGGATTTGTTGCTTTGCATTGCTTCAGGTTCGATACAGCTTTCTAAACTTCAAGGAGAGTTGGAGGACCGACATCTGCATCCCATTCAGGTTCAGGCTGAATGTTGGATAACTGAAGCGTTGCTGCAGATCATTTGAACTGTGCTTTAAAGTGTTCCGCTCACCGTTATAGCCGGCTGTCTTGGGACGTTATCAGCGTCCTATCCTTTTCGATGATGGCTTTATTCACCATCGTCTTCTGGTCGGTATCCTCAATAAGCCAAAACGGTTGCTGGCTGTTACTCAACGCTGGTGCATTCTCCATCTGTCTCACTCTCGTCACCCACCACTGCTGGCGATCGATGCAAAGACTCTTGGTCAACTTACGTTTCAGTTACTTTCGTTCTTCATCGTGGTCAGAACCAGCCATCTGGAATCAGTCGTCTCGCACCAATCATTTCGGATAACGTTACGGAAATCCAATGACATTTGCTAACCTCCAGGCGTAGTTAGCCAATTGTCTTTACCGCTGTTTCCACAGCAGACTTGATATCACGCCATATTACATCAGGATGAATATTATTGTCACGTTCAGATAAATGTTTAGCTGATTCATCGCTTAATGCATACTCGGCGTCGTCGAGCACAGATGGGCTTCACTGCCTTATGTTTCCTGCGACCAGTAAGGCGCAGACATACACGAGCCCGTACTAGCGCGTGATCGGAGTCCAAAGGGATGCTCCAGAAATGATGGTAATCCCCCACCGATCCTCTCCACTGACGGCTTATAGCAGTGTGATCTATCTCTGTCTGTCGTTGGTTTAAAGTCGGCGGACGTCTAAAGTTAATGCTAGGCAGAAGCAAGTGATTGTTGGAGCAAATTTGCCACAAACAATCACAGGATGTACACACCAAAAATTCGGCGGTTTTTCAGACTTCAGCTTACTAAGCAACGGAACGTCTGTCGCCTTGGTCATTGGCACTATACCCTTCGGCTTGACAGTTTTAATGCGATACCTTGACTTAGCATGAAGACCACTGAAATATTTTAATATGCACTTATAGTTGGTCAGTTTAAACTCATCTAAACTACCTGGACTCTCACTAGTCACCATTGGTGGGATTCCATCCTTTCTTTTCTTCAATTCGTGAGATTTTTGGAGGAGTTTTGGCAGTCACTTACTAGCTGTTTTCATTTGCTATTCGAAACCTTATAGTCATCAGGGGTTTGAGTTCTAACCGAGTTGTGGTGGGTGACACTTCCTGGCTGCTCACGTTGCAGATGGTTACTTCTTGAGTTAACTAAAAAAGGAATTGGATTGATAATAGTGGTTCGTAATCGCAGAACCGAAGGAAGATTTACTTGTAGATAGCCCTTCTAGAATTTAGAGGTTTTAGTTTGTCTGCTTCTAATCCAGTTAGACGATCCACGAAATTGGCACTGAAAGATAGGTAAAGGGTTGAGAAAGTCGTAATTGGCTTAATATTGGTATCAGGATGTTAAGACAAGAGAAGAGAAATAGGTAAAGAGAGCAGGTTATGGATGATTGGGTTTTAGTTACTGTCGAAAGCTTGATGAACGTTGATGCTCCTTGGCTTCCCCAGCTGTGGCCTATCAGTCTAGGCGGGAGAGCGTGCTATTTTATGAACAGGCCCTTTCCAATCTCCGCCACCTATGGGGAAAGTATCAGCATGACACTGCTGGCCATATGTGGGAAACATGTTACAGCTGTCACACTGTCAAGTCAACAATACGACTTTGCTTTTGGACCCCCATCAAAACCTAGGTGTTTACATCGCGACGTAAATTGTTTTTTTTTTATATCTTACTATTATCCAACATACCTTTCTGGGACATCAGGGCCTGAAGCTTTCTCGCCATATTTCTTATACCTGAAGATAGTTTTCGATTCAACAGCCATGAGGTATTGTGGCAGATTTTGAATGTAAAGGGAGTGTATTATGCTTATCAAAGCTCTCTGCTTGAGCTCCTGCAGATATGTAAGAGCTGATGGTAAGTTGTCACCTGAAGTGATGAAAACCAATGGTGTCTGACAGAGATTCTATCTATCACCGTTCCTGTTTAACTGTTTCGTAGATGTACTAATGGGCGTAACTTTAGGTACGTCTAACTTCACAGAAACTGGTCTACTACCTGGAGGGTATGTGGTTGACATGGAGTACTCAGACTATATTGTCCAGTTAAGCGAACATACTGGTAGAACGAAGGGTATTCTGAATGCCTTGAGCAGTAATTTGAGTGTGTTTGGCATGCATTTCGCTCTGTCAAATGTAAGGTGATACTTTAAGACTGATCTGCAGCTATTCAGGGTTTAAAGATACATAGTGTGGTAGTAGAAGGCGTTGACCACTTCACTTACTTGGTAATTGGCTTCTGCATGTTTGGGAGGTCTTTTCTGCCATATGTGGTTCTTTTTGCGAATGAGAATCAGTTGTTTGAGATTCTTGGTTGCTTGGCTGACTGTGGTTGCAGTTGCACTTGTTTTCACTCTGTTCTTTTATATTTTAGACATTGTCATTGACCTTTTTTCGGAAAGCTCATTCGAACACTGTATTTTTCTTTATAGTTCCTTTTTTTGTAACCCCTTGTTATTTATGTGATCCAATACACTTCTGGACGAGTTTCTGAATGTCAGGTAGTTAAAGTCGACATACAACCTGGTTTTGCTGTTTAATGGTCCAAGTTATCACGCTTGGTATAAGAGAATAAAGGCTGTAGATGTCAAGATGAAAGCTGAAAAAATGGGAAAGAAAGCAATCAAAAGTGGTAGACATTCGTTGAAAGAGAGCATGAAGGAGTGAGGCAATAATAAAATTCAGTATGACGATTAAGATGAAAATAATGTGTGAATACATCTAGGTAATCGAGATAGTTTCTGAGCTGTGTCATCCAGATTCTCTCACATCTTGTTTTTGTTGTCACACTGACCACATCCGGGAGGTCATCACTTCCCTGGATGACTCAAAGCAGCAGTCACAGACCTCATTGACTGATATCATGTTATAATCTTGTCTCTCTCAACCTTTTTCTAGCCTGGACCTACTTCAGCTCTCATTGTGCGACAAGGCAGAAGGTGACTAGGCATTTTAACACATGTCCCAGCCACCTGAGTCGGTGAAGGTTCACAACTTCATCAACTGGCCTTTTGCTTCCTAAAACACTACATCTTACTTCTACTTTGCTGATGTGAAGACTCCACGATTTCTACGTTGATTGTTTCTTCGTTTCTTTTCTTCTTGTCGCTGTACGTTATAAGTTTTTATTTTCATGTTTATCATAAAATCATAACTCCACTGTATTATGCACACTATTTTAGGTTATACTCCTCGGGCTTTATCACTTACTTCCTTGCGGTCTGAGAATTATCTAATTCTGAATTATGGTAACGCTTGTTTATTTTATGATATTTTGCGTTTAATGACTTGTTTGACTGAAGCGAAAGCAGGAAAATAGTGAACTAGTGATATTGAGCAAAACGCATCCTTCTTACTGTTTAGGTGCTTAGAGAGTATTGATCGTGTGAAATGTGACTTTTAAAACTGGGAGTCATTACTTTATTATGAACAAGACTAGAATTATCAGCGTAAAGCGTAACCTTGGAGTACATGACAGTTGTTTACCTAAGGATGAATGTTTGGATATATTTATTACATATGTATTCTCCGTTTATCCAAGTTATTTCGGGGTCATGGACTTCGAAGCTGAGGATCAAGCTCATTCAAGTGTTTTTCTACGCTTCTCTTCTTCCCATACACCGTTATCTACTTTGATATCAATCTTTCTCATCCACTTGCTCTTTGTATATTACTGTGAAGTGTGGCAACTTGCGCTTGTGTGCGAGGTTCTGCGTTGATTTTCTGCATTTGTCTTTTCAGTTATACTGCAGTTCTTTTATCATTCGATACTAAGACGTGCTGGGCTTAAACACATTTGTTTACAGGTCTATGTATTACTTTAGTTTGATTTTTTTTTACTCCATTAGCATTAATCTTACTTAAAATTTTATGCAAGATTAGTGGTGTGTATTTAATATATTAGTTCATTTTTATCTCATTGGAGGTCAGAGTATCAGCTTACTTTGGTGAATTGACCGTAGGTGAACTTAGTGGTTCCGTAAAGACTTTTATATATGAATATAGTACTGATTACCTTAGTTTTATGTATACATTTTTTGTTTCGGTTGCTTATTCATTTAATAATTTATCGTACACTTCTAATTTTGTTCTAGTTATATACATTATGAGTCAGGCAGAATGGTTGGAGTTGGAAAGCGATCCTGGACTATTTACTTTACTCCTAGAAGATTTTGGAGTTCAAGGAGTTCAAGTGGAAGAAATTTACGATTTATCTAAACCAATTACTGAAATTGTCTATGGTTTCATATTCTTATTCCATTGGAACAAAGCTAAGAAAAAGGTAATCGACTCATTTTTCTCATTTTGATGTATTATTATTCGCGAGTACTGGAGAGAGGTGTTTTTTAAAGATTGAGAAAACCCACAAAAATTGTACACTCTGATCCATTCAGAAGTCAATTTTGCCTGTGGTTATGTATTGATACTTACTGTTTTTAAAATATTTACTTTGTATCACTCCGATTGCTGAAGATCGTTCCAGTGATAACAGGTTCAATATAAAATCAGAATATATCATGAAATAGAGATTGTGTATTAATGAATATTACTGAATTAAGGAGATTCAGATTGTTACTAACTTCATCTTTCAATGAGAACATAGTCTTCAAATCACTTTGATTTCCAAAATAAGCCGAATGTTCCGTAAATAAACCAAGACTTATGCAATCCTTTTAGTTCTATGTAATAATCTCTCACTCATAAGCTTTATTTTTTTACCAGTTTCATCACATACTAATAGATCATTTTAGATATTCTTTCATAGCCCACTCTAAATTTCTCCATTTGTTGTGTTTCATGTGCGTAGGAGATTCTTTCATGTTTCTGCTGTGCCTAAGAAATCTAAGCATTGTTCGATATTCAACCTAACGTCAAAAACATACGCCTAAATTATGAAATTATTACTATTAATCAATTCATTTCATTCACTGAGCTTTATAAAGAAAGTCATTATTTTTAGTACACTAAGTTCTTTGGCACTTTATCTTAAATATCCTGTCAAATAATTAATTTAGCATCAATTCATATATTTAAGTTTTTTAAACTGTTTCAAAACTATACAGAGTGGTTGAAGTAGAGTTAGGTTGGGCAAAGTAACCAAATCAATAAGTGGTATCAGTTCGTGAAGTCTTGAATTGATCCCCTAAGTCGTGTGATGAAATGTAAGTTTCCGGGTAAGGATCATCATGACAATCGTAATAGACACGGTTTCAGACTCTATGTTATATACAGCTTACAATCGATTGGAGTGACGAGATACACTTCTGCCTTACGTCATCTCAGACGTTATATTACATTTCGTTATTTGACTTAACCCACTTTTTCCGCATTGTTTTCTGCCTTAGATTACGTTACTTTGATTTCATTATTTTACTTTTCGTTGTATTGTACCTTGGTGTGATAATGTTGGGATGTGGCAATTTTAACTGTAACGAAATAATTTCTGTTCCCATGTTGATATTAGCCGACTGACTGATTTGTAGTGATTCATATTTCAAGTAATTGACTACATGTATCCATGGGGATTTGACTCAATGGCTTTAGGAACTTGATTTTAAAGCAATGGCTCTTGGATTCAAACCCCGTTACATCTAGTTAGGCATGCACAACCGGGTAGTATCATCAGCTGTTATGCAAAAATTCGATCACTCTTGAGGACATGAAGGGATCGCTTGGTTTCATAAGCTATCAAGAAAAATCAGTGAATATGATAACTACAGTCGTCACTTGAGCGTTTTTGATCATCAAGCCTCGCCTTTCTAATTTTGGTGAACTCTATCTTTGTTGAACCCAGAACAGATGGCTGGACTGATAAGTAGGAAGGTTTTAAAAACCGTTTATCTACCCTCTGTTAACAAACTTACCATCCGGTCTGGGAAAAACTGGCAAGCTTGAGGAAAGCTGAAAATGAGTTACAGGGAAAGGTCTTACCATATTAATGATGGGTAGCGGCTATCAGTAGAATCCAGAACGCGCGTTTCGTCGTAATTAAGACTCGTCAGCTGGAAATACCTGCCTCCCAATGAGTGGTGTTGTTCCCACTGGGACTCGGGACCGTTCGTTTCAAACGCCGCAGCGTTTCCTACTAGACCACTCACTCACTGGCAAGTAGGTACATCCAGCTGATGAGTTCCAAATAGGACGGAATGCACGTCCTGGATTCCACTACTAGCCACTATTCATCACTAATATATAATCAAAACACAGGTAGTATAGAGGCATCGGCGCAGGAGCCCATATACCGATAGAGACCTATCAATTCGGTCTAATCACCGATATGGTAATAAAAGCAACAGCATTGAAGATCTTGCTAAATTGCCTGTGTTTAGTTTCATAAGCGATACTTCAAGCCATGAAACTGATTGAGATTTTCAGTTAAAGTATTAGAGTTAGACATAATCTAGAAATTCAGTTTCGACTGCCACTCTTTCTCGGTTTGTCAGTTTGACAAAAGTAGTTCTTAAGTTCTATGAATTAACCGTCACTAGGAGCTTCAATAATGATCAAAAAAGCCAACTCAAAACAGATCGAGTATATTAATCAGACAGGCATTGTTTACCAAATTTTGGAAGTCAAACATGGTTATTTAGATTTCATACTAGCTGCTTTCTTCACTGTGAAGATAGTTTTTGACTTCGTCATTTGAAGGGTTGTATGACTATTCTTCACCGAAGACACCATCTAAAAACTTGACTGTCTTTTACTAATCAACTTTACTTGTTGAGTTGAAAACAGAATTTTCACATTTGGATCGGTTTCGTAAATTTAAGTAGATGGGTTTATTGACTGTCTTGATTTCAAGCATGATAGTAATAGCCTTAGTCGGATAGTCATCAACAAAATCTTAAAGTGGATAAAAAGGATGTAGTTGACAGTACTCAACTGACGTTATTTGTGTTAGCAGTGGCAAATATTTGCATGTCGATGTATTTGCGACTTCTACATATGTCCAACGAAGATGGAATTCACAGGAAGGTTACAGGTATTTGGTTACTAGTGCTTATACAATATTTCTTGTCTACAACTACAAGTCACCATGTATTACACCCAAGTTGTATGTTTTTTTGAAATTGGACTCTATGAATCAATACAATATTTTATCCGATTTCACTTAGATCTAACTACTCATTTCGTCATCTGATGTGGTAGACAAAATGATTCACCTATAAAAGTTTAAGTGATATTTGAGGTGCTTACATTTAACACTAAAGATTCTTTTACTTTATGATTAATCTATTGTTGTTATGTGATATACTGTTATTAAATGCTAGTAGTTAAATGACTATTCTAAGGTTGTAACTGATTTTGAATTTTACTGTTTTTATTTTTGGTTTTCTTATCATAAGTTGTTGATACTGCCTAGTTACACTTCTCTCATATTTATGCTTTAGATGACTGTTAAGCAATGGCATTAACATAACTGGTTTGATTTATAATTAACAAACCCACTGTTGGTTACACTGATTAACAACTTAAACAATATATATATATATATATATATATATATATATATATATATATATATATATGTATATATATATAAAGTGACGATTAGGTTAGCAGGTAAAAACGTTGAAGTTATCATTATTCGTTCCATGCGCGACAACAACCCTAGATATATCTGGTAATCCTTTCATTACCTTATGTAAATGTACTACGATTGTTTGTAATTAGAAATTCTTGCTTAATAATACAATTTGTCCGTAAATGTGAACTTCTATTTTTTACCATTTACAATTACAAGCTGTTTAGCATAATTCCTAGTCACTGAATATTGGTTCTCCTTATATATCGAGTTCCGGTGATCGAATGTCTGACTTCGTCAACTGCTCTTTCAAGATGTTTTATAGACTTTAGGATCAAAAGTTGACTTGGTCGAATTGAATAAGTTAAGCATTGGGTAAATGGATTATCAAGGAAATATATTCCTAAAATACTTACGACGGAGAAAAACAAATTTCTGACGTCTTGTGACCTCGTTGAAACCGCTTCTTCAGAGAATAAAACCTGTAGAAGTTGTCGCATGTTTAAATAGTAAATAAAGATAAACTAGATCACGTTGTTCATATATGATAATATTATAGGAATAAACATTGTCGTTATCATTTATCACTCTTTGAGTCTAAGGTGAAGATGTGAATGTATGTGCATAAGTGAATGGGTGTGGTATGAGAAAAGTAGTCTGAATGAGAAGTTCAGTTCAAGTTGGTTGAAGTCACTTACACTTGAAATACTATGCAGTCATTGTGAATGATCGGTATGTTGATAGCATTGATCCCGGCAACTGAAGAGAGTAGCAAGGGTGGCTAATTCCCTATTTTCAAAGAATGCATCACCGTAAAAATCGATTTTGGAGAGTAAATTGTGCTTATCTATTATGTGCTTGTTTTTATTGTATAGGCTTTTGAAGATTGAGGTTGGTTAGATAAAAACACAAAATCTTGGTACGAAGAAGGCATCGGAAGAACTAAAACAAAATAATAGGACACTGTGAAAAAAGGAAGGTTAAATAACGATGAAAATGATGGAAATTTATTAGTTGAAGTGCAACCACTTCTCTTTGTTTTAAAAAAAACAGTTAGTACGACTGCTTATCTAAAAAATAATGGATATACATCAAAGCATCTACCAATGACGATCATGCAACATATCAGACAACATTCCAAACTATAGGGTAATGTGATTCCTTGTACTTTAACTAGGAAGTTGTTGTACAAGAATGTATGCCTGATACAACAGCAGTTTATTCCAGATAATCGCATCACGAAACAGTCACCTCTATCCCTTCTAACCAATGCTTGTCTGCAATACCTAGCTGGAATTCAACTTCATTTGATATGTAGTTGTAACATTGAGAGATGCAACTAGGTATTCTAGGGGATAAATTAGCTCTGTATAAACCCGAGATGCCGGTAACTGGTCGTATTGGTCCCGTTTACATTCCACTGTGGTCAGCGAAATCTGAACGTCGAGTAGAGCTTTGGGTATGACTGTACAGAAGTTGGTACTGTACTAAGACCGTTTGTGATCTACATGCGCAAATTTCGCATTTGGTCCTCGGTAAAGCTCAGATACAATACTTTCAGCCAAACACGGTTTCAAAATATCCTGATCAGATGCCTCATCGATGGAAAGCTTTGTCAAAAATAGTGTGTAATCACCCGAAAAAATTCATCAGAAGTGTGTAGTTAATACTTGTAGTAGTCAAATCAAACTTCCTACACTTGTGATTGTTGAGTAAATTTTTAGTGTCTTATTTCCATGCCTTATCATAAATCATGTGAAAGGTGTTACTTTTTGAATACTCAGGCTGAAGTGTATAGTAGTTATCATAATCTTTAGTTTAAGAGTTCAGTTTACAAGCTAAATGAGCGGTATTAAAAGCTTTTTTTTCATAGTAACCTATGGTCAGCATAGTTTTACACACCGATTATTTAGTTGTGATTTGTGCGACTAGGTGGATTATTTATTTAAACACAGGAATTTCTCAATCCTCTAATTAAAATCAGGGGTTCAAAACTCCGGTCTAGCGTTCACCACTTCTCTCTGTTGTTTCGGTTTTACTGAATTTATTGTGCAACGTCAAAGCTGTGAACGAGAGCCGTATAATAAGTTGTATAGTTTATGACCATATGAAAGGGTGAAGGAACCGTACAAACCTTTTTCCTTCCGGAAGGATGTGAAGGTTATAGTGCAGTTCAGTAAAGTAGTACAGGGTCTTGCAGCACACTATGAGACATTTGCTTTGAAGGATGATAATATTACCCAAATACCAAAGCTTTTATATTTGACCGTGGTTTGAATTTGTAACTCACTATTTGAAAATTAAGTACGAAACCCTCTGAGTCACATCTTACAATTGTACTGAATTTAACCGTGAAATAGTTTCATGAGAAAAAAAACAATGAAACTAATTCTCCGTCCTTTTTAATACTGTTACGGCTGATATGAGGAAGGTGGAATAGACAATGGTCAGTTTGTTAATTGCAGTGAAATACTTAAGTTAGTGGTAATCACTTATAAACTTGCATACCTTGACGAGAATTCTTAAACTGGATGATCATGAAGCAGTCATCATTCTTCGACTTCATTCTTGAGTTAAAACAGTCATCTCTACTACTAAAGGTGAACTAAAACAGCAGTAATAGTTTACTAGATAACATTTGATTGATCAGCTGAATTTTTACTTCCATATTAGTTATTATTATTTATTTCATAGATTTTATCCTAGATGATTGTGGAGTTAACTTTTGAAATATATTTATTTTTTCTATAACAGCCTTGTCGTCGTACTGGTAGAGGTTCAACTGGTTCTGTAGCAAATACAATTTCTCCAAGTTCGTATACATCTGTTCCTTCTTGCGATAATAATGTGCGAACAAATGCAGTCACTCAGCGAACTGGAAATAATAGTTTCCGTCACCGTTCAGTATCTGGATCAGGTCAGGAAATCCTTGGTTCTCCTGAGGTTAAATCTGTTGATGGAGCATCAGAATGCAAGGCATTTGTTTCTCAGTCTTCAGATAAAATTGAAATTTTCTTCGCACATCAGGTTGTACAAAATTCTTGCGCCACCCATGCTTTGTTGAGCATTTTACTAAATAGACCTGAAATAAATATAGGACATATGCTGGCAGAATTTCAAAAAGCTACTCGTCATCTGTCACCTGAGGCTAAAGGTCTTGCTATTGGTAGCATGCCTCAGCTTGCTCAGGCTCATAACCGACATGCTGCTAAACCTCCGGCGGTGTTCAAAGATGAGACACCGCCTGACGTGACCCTGCCTGAACCAAGTCAAGCTGCAGCAACAGCAGCAGCAATCGCTAAAGCTAGCATGGGAGCATCGAATTCTATGAACTCTTCAGATTCCAGTCCTGGTTTAACTGCTACCGCAACCTCCGGTGTGACAATTCCAGATACATTTCATTTCGTTTGTTATGTTCCTATTGGTGGTTTTTTGTATGAGTTAGATGGTCTCACTTCTGAACCAATCAATCATGGTCCTTTGAAGAATCCAAATGATCAATTTGCTTGGACTAAACAGTGTGCTGATGTTTTGAAGGAGCGTATGCAGGAAGTGAGTCTGAGTATGATGGTTGTCATTATAAATAAGTTATATTTGTCATGTTTCGCCCTATCACCTTACATTTTATCTATTCTTCTAACTGACAAAGCAGTTCAGTCAAGTAAAGTAATAAGAAGTGGGATTTCGCATTTATTCGTAGCTTATTGTGGTGGGTCTGCTCGTGCATTTCGTGCGTCTTTTCTTCTGTGAATTTAATTATAGAGTTGTTGAGGTCTCGTGTCGGCATGCTACAAACACTAAGAACTGATCTTTTGAATGCATAACAGTTGTTTTGACGATGCTTCATCATATTTTGCATGCTAAATAACCTGTTCCATGTGTCTGATTACCTACAAAACCTCATGATCAACTTCACACGTTGAAAAGTAAAGTAACTTAAACGAGTACAATTTTTGGTCTTCTGAGCGCGTTGAGCAGAAATCTTGGTGTGTTTGGCATGCGTTTCTCTGGCACCTATCAAATGTAAGATGATACTCTAGGACTGGTCTGCTGCAAGTACTCCCAGTTTAATGATAGGGATAGAGTGAGGTGGTGGAATGTGTCGACCACTTCACTTACTTGAGGAGTTGCATCAATCCGAACGGGCTGGTTGCTGACGAAATCTCAGCTCAGTTACAGAAGGCCTGTCTGGCATTTCTCAACATGCATCACCTTCAGCGCCCACTGGCCAGATATCTGACTATCTATCAAAGGACAAGTATACTGGACTGGACTACAGTTCGTCTTGTCCTGTTGTACGGCTTTGAGACAGTCGTTAAAAGTAGAAGACAAGAAGCGGTCACAGCTGTTTGATCGTAGATGTCTTCGCAACATTACTCACATTTGGTGAGATCACCAAATGAGTAATGTTGAGGTCAGGCGAAGGATGCTAGGCAAGACAGGCAAGTTGATTGGTGAGGTTGTGAACCTTAGTCGACTGAGATAGTTTAAAAATGTGTTGCCTATGCCAAGTCCCCATCTACCTCGACGTGCCATGTTAGGGGAAGTTAGATTAGGTTGGAAGAGTGTTCGGGGCGGTCAGACCGACACGTGGCATCATTCGATGAGGTTTCTTACTGTTGGTCTGAGTTGTGTGGGAAGATGAAGATTACCAGGTTGGGGTCCACAGGACGAAAGGAATCAGTGGTTGAGGACTCTTGTTGAGATGGCCAGCAATCGGTCACAGTGGTGAAGATGTATTCACTCCTTGACGACTTCTGAAGCTTTGACACTCTCACTAACCGTTAACTTCAGGTTGTTTATTCTGTTATACCATTTTGTCTATTTTTATATCACTCTTTTTGTATCCCCCTGTTCTTTGTCTACTACTGTGAAGTGTGGCAACTTGAACTGATGCATTTATGTGCAAGCTTCTACGTCGATTGTCCAGTACATTTTTTCCATTTTGATTACAATGGTTTGTAACTACATATTGAACCACTTGATATAATGATACTGTAAATAACTTCAATAATTTACCTGGTACAATTTTATTTGCTAGATTTAGCCACACTTATTGCATTATAGCTAATGGTACAGGGTTGTTTCCGTAGCCGAAATTGATAGAACGGCGTTAGAACTCGGCATTCACTGTTTGAAAGTGCTTAAGTCAGTGTGACAGCTTCACATGTCAGACCACTTACCACAAGATTGGTATAGTTACTGGGTAAAATGTTTCAGTTACGGTAAGAATAGGCATGTAAATTCAAATCAATTTTGAGGTCGCATTATTTTTTCAAGGCACTAGATTTTCAGTCAGGTATTTATTATCATCTTGGTCATCATAAATGGAATTTCAAGATAGATCAATGGAAACTTCCTGTTAAAAATACTGGTTAGCATATCAGACTATTCAGTTTAATTATTTTATCAATACAATTTGCACACTTTTTGGTGTTTATAAATCACGTTTACTTTTTACTTTATTCAAGATGTCAAATCAACTGATAGTTTTCTATCATAAAGGATCAGTTTTTGCTGATTCATGAAGTGTAAAAGTAGAGCATTCACAAGACTTAAATGAATTATTGTATTTATAAGTTTGAATAATAAATGTGTCATAAAGCATGCATTAATTTTTAGTAATTTAAGCATTCCACTATAAGGTATGTACTAAAACAGTTGAACCTTGAAATCTCTGTATATTATTATCACATAGTGTAATAGATAGTCGCGTCAGCTCTTATACTATAGGTTTAATTTACAACTTAATGCATTAATCTTAGTGTGATTATGCTGTTGTTTTTCACGCTACTTGATTGGATTCAAGATTTTATTTTTACTAACAGCACCTAAACATGATAAATCGCTAATCCAAAAAAAGAGAAAAGTGTATACAAATATGCCTAGAAGAAACTTTCATCATGACTTGATATCATCAGTTTGATTGGAACTACTCGTGGACTATATATAACTATTGAACTGATGGTAATTGATGTTCAAAACTGCTTACAAATTAAAGATTCCCTCACTAATTCGTGTTTATGCATTCTATTTCCGACCTTTATTTTTTGGCTCAAACAACTGATTTCTAACCAGTAGATTGAAATTCTTCTCGACACTTTGGACAAGTATGCTATATCCTCAATCCTTACAATAATGGGTGTTTCATAGCTTAGTACTCGAATCTTCATATAATTGTTGGATTTTATGTGTGCGGATTAATATAGTGAATAATACCTAAAGATTGTTTATTTCACCCTACTTTTAGCAAAGAACATTGTTTTTATGCTCCAAATTTCTAGTTTGTAGTGAAGTTTACAGTAAAAAGCTGTTTAGTACAGTAATATGTTAAAGACTGAATACCAGAGGAAGGATGATGTTGATTTTGATCACTGTTATTTTCAGCCCTCAGATACTGATTTTTGCTATCAGACCGATATTATTCTTTTGACCTAATGTTCTTTATAAAATTCACACCTATCGACAAGGACTGTATAATCTACTATCAGAGATTGCTTTCTTCCCTCTGTAACCAGCATTATAGATTGAAATATTTGGTGGATTGAGGTGAGAAACACTCGTTAGATCGAACCCATCCACTGATTTCTTTTCTTCCCTTCAACAAACCCTACATTAAACGTTAGTATTCCACACTCCTTATTTCCATTTCAACTAAGACCTAAGCGAGATGTAGGTTACTGCTGGTGTTTAAGATGCTCTTTAGGAGATTCCACTTTACCCAAATTTACTTTTGTTTTATCCTCCTTAATTGCTCAAACTTCAGTCGAAGTTCGGCACCGAAGGTCAATACCACTCGCACTTTGGGGCTTCAAATAGTAGTTCTAGATCAGCTGAACTTGTTATCAGAGTATTTTTTCTACCCTTTTTTTCACCACTATATTCTGAGAGTTCGTTACTTACTCATCGTTATCACTGATAGTCTTTCTATGGCTTGTGTGTTCATTCAAAATACTTTCGATTGTCACAGACCCATGTTTTTTCACTCAATTTCCATTTAGCCAACTACCACTACTCTTAGTTGTTGTTCAAACTTTGACTCCTGTTTTAGTTGCCTTCATTCGTCATGGATTTCCGAATTAGACATAATGCGATAACTGGCATCCACTAGTTCGAATCAGACATAGGAGACCCATTAAGATTTTACACTCCTAATTTGATTATCATCCTCATCCGTCTTTATTCCTTCACACCATAGCATATCTTGCCAGGCTTTACCGAAATCTGGACTAATGTCATGTTCCCGCAACGATTGGTGCGACTTCTCTTTCATTTCTGGCAGATATTTAAGTCGTTTTTCAGTTTTATGCTTCTGGTACCCAGTCGAAGATGCTCATTCTTGAATGAACGTATGGTCAGGAGTTGAAGCACTCGTTTGAGAATGAGCAGCAGTCCATCCATCTCCAGCTGTGAAGATGGGTGTAAAAGACATACTTTTATTGTTGTATTTGCTTGGGCGGTTTGTGAGTAAGAACTGCAAACCGATATCAGGTTATACCATAGTCCTAGTGTCTCATCGAACCATCCACCCAAGCAACTTATAAACCTTAACATGAATCCAGTTAAGAAGTGTATACCAATGAACAAAAAACGAAATGCACTCAGCTATCTTGTGCACATTCGTGCAGTAAGCAATCAGCCACACCTATCGTGTGAAGGCTAGTGATACTTCCTTGCTGCCCAAACCTCGGTAGGTGCAGCGGGGCTTGTATCCGTAGCCACTGAACCACATCTCCAGTAGCACAATGGGCTAGATATTTGACTCTAATAGTTATTCTTGTCTTACTCGACACAATACATTTATCAAAAGCTAAAAAATACTTGTAGGATCATTAAAATACCAATATTCTATTCCATAAACCCTCTTGGTTAGTACCAGCTTATAGCATGGAAAGGTCGGAGTTGAATTATATTGAATTGTGGTGGGAGATCAGTGAAGAGAAGGGTTGTGATGAGTAAACGAAATGGTATCAATCAGGAGGTATTTCTACACTGTTCATGGTGTTGAGGAGACTGGTAATTCCTGGATGCTTAGACTAAGCAAAGTAATGAGATCCTAATGTGTTTGAAAAAGAATTAGTTTGTTGATAGTTAACCCAGTGTTATTCGTCTGGGGTCCACGGGACAAGAGGAACCAGTGGTTGGAGATCCTAGGTGATATGGCTCAGAACCGAAGTCAGTGGCGCAGATGTATACACACTTTATCCTCATCTTAACAACGCTATACCGAAGCTCACCATTTTGTCACTCCTCTTTCCTTTCTTTTCGTACTTTATATTTCTTTTGACTGCATTTACTTATCTTCATCCTTCACCTCACTACCTTTTTACTTGATGTGCTGATATGAGGTGTGGTAACTCGGACCATCACGCAGTAATGCCTGGTCTTATGTTGATAATGATGATGGAAATCCGATAGAATGATAATATTATGATGAAAAAACTTGTTAGATAGCGTATATTCTCATTCTCATGTGAAATGTTTTGACTTTTTTTCCGCGTTGGATACTTGTCGTATATCTGATCATTTGACTTGATTCGCAGTACGCGGATAGACCTAATATTTCAGGAAGATATATCGCTGTTTTGAATAAAATATAGTTATATTTTCATAAATTTAATCTGTTTTTAAAAAAAATTTCTTGTTTCTAAACACTCTTTGTGATCACAGCAAGATGTTCGGTATAACTTATTAGCTGTTGTGCCGGATCGTCGTGTAGCGCTTACAAAACGGATGCAAATGTTGAAACGTAATCGTCAACTTATCCAGAATATCTTAATTCGTATGTGCAACTATGATCCTTCACCTAAACTTTCACATTGTTCCAGTAATACGACTACCACAGTTACAGTTACTTCGCATAATCATTCGCATAGACTGAATGGTCATCACCATCCTCATTCTGACCATATTCAGGATCATTACGGTTCCAATCATTCTGAACACTGTAATAACCATGTTTGTGTGCCTCCAACGAGTTCATCATCATCTGTGTCTGTGGAACAGCATGAATTTCCATGTCAAGAGAAATGCTCATCCATAAAAACAAACGTTCACACTTGTGATAACAATCGTTGTTTCGATAGTATAGCTAACAATGCTGATAAAAACAAGTAAGTTCTAATTTTTGGATATTGATAACACTTTTTCATATCTAATGACTTCTTGACCTTTTTAATACTTCGAGTGGCTTTTCTCAAAACGATATCAGAAAAGAGTTTCTGTGGTATGCAGTCTAGCAAGCTGTAGGCAGTCTTACTTGGCTTTTGAGAAAAATGTATTTCTCAGCCAAAAAGTGTTCATAAATTTGTTATTTAGTCCAAAATATATTCAAAAACATCAGCATGGAAAATAGGTCCTTTGGCTACAATTATTTTGGATACTGAAGTGGTATTTACAATCATTTATTGCAAAGGTATATAAAAGTTTGAAGTTATAGATTACTCACTACTTGAACAACAGTAAAGCAATGGTTAGTTCACCGTAAAATTGATGTTTCACGAAGCGATTCCTTGAGTTTGTTTCTTCGGAGTCAATTATTAAGTCTGGAAGAAGGTGCAAGTTAAATATTAGAGATATTTCGTATGTTGTTGGCAGTTTGACTACTATCATTTATTTTTGTATTCAAACATCCGTACTAAATTTTACTAAAATTTTATTGTTTACCAATTAAAGACATACTACCGCTAAATAAATAAATTCTCATTACTTTACGATAGTGTTTTTTACTAGTGCACCACTTTGCAAGAATCAATCTTATGACTCTGTTGTAGCGGCATGATTTCTCTCCTTAAGTTTAGTTCAGTGTGTGAACAGAATCTGATTGTGATACGGTAAAATACAATAATAATGAATCAAGTGTTTTTGAACATGGCCTGCTTTTTCATAGATCTCAAGACTAACAAAGCAGATGACATATGCTGTAAGCGGATGCAAGTATGCACTTGAAGTATGTAATTCATGGTATAAGGTGTATTTTATTTGTGTAATCTCGGCGTGGTATATTAGAACAAATAACAGAACCAAAAAATATTCTGTATTGTTTATTTCGTTATTTGTTCTTATATACCACGCGGGGATTAAACAAGTAAAATACACCTCATGCGATGAATCATATTAATTTGGTGCCCAAGGTTTTCCAAACCATACAGTACATCATTCGTCAGGATACGTTCATATATATATATATATATATATATATATATATATATATATATATATAGCCCAAGATACAATCTAATACGTATTTTGTGAAACACTGTTAAAGTAATACTATCATTTCAATCCATGAGAAATTTGTGCATTGTGTAGAGAATCAGTCTTATGATAGATATATTTGTAATGAATATTTATGCATAATAATTTCCGTGGCATAATTTCAAATCATTCGGGATTATTAATAATTTGTTTCATTAACGACCTTTACTGTTTCTTTCACAGTTTTAGTACCGATTGCTTCCAATTATTTGCTTATCATGAAATAAGGTTTGGATTGTTCTGTTAAGAATCATTATGTGTAAATATTCATTACAAATATATTCATAATTAAACAGTCCTGTTACTGTTTATCATTCACCTAATAAAGTCATTAGATAGTCGTAAATAGGTTTTTTCTTTATTTAGACATGAATCACTTGATGACCTGGAGGATTCACATTTCATAAAAACTCGTTCAGCGACACGTGCTGCAAAACAAACCACTTATGAAAGTAATCACTATGATCTGGAATCCATTAAAACAACTTATCAGAAACAAAACAGTACATCTATCTCTGATGGTATACATTCTACTTCTGAGGATTATAACAATTGTTGTTCAAATCGTAAACGTTCATCTTATCCGTCGAATGACCGATATGATTTGGACTACTGGAAATGTGAACATAAGAAGCCTCATTTACTTACATCTCATGATGGTATTATCAATAATCAAAATGGATATAAATCTACATCTGACTCTAACTATTCACCAGATTCAAATAAAATGAATAGAATATTCGCTTCGTTTATTTCAGATAATTCTCCCTTATCATTAACTGCATTCACTACAGCAGCTTTTGACACAGTTAACAAACTTGATACAAGTAAGCCTTCTCATGTGACTGAAGACTTTAAAGATTCAAACGGAAGTCTTCAAGATAGTCGTTATTCAGAGAATACTCAGTCAAATGGAATTACTACTAAGGTAGAAGAAAATTGCACATTAGATGGCAATAATTGTAATTCATGTGAACAACATTCGGACTTCATCACAAAAGTGAGTTTATCCTTGTTAAGGTTTGATGTGATACTTACATAAAGTAAGAAATCAGTCCACTTTTATGGGTCAATTACACTAATGACGAGATAGTCAATAGAATCATTTTATTTATTGTATGAGTCGTAGTTAATTAACAGAACTGTGGTTCATTGGTCTATACAGTTGGTTTCCGGCCGATAGGTTACGTGTTCAGACCTTCTCTGCACCTACGGAGGCTTGGAAAACCACGTAGTAATATTAATCCCTACACAATAGGTGTGGCTAATTGCCTATTGAAAAAAGTGCACGCGATTGTTGGGTGGATTATGATTTTTTATCGGTCGATAGCTACTACCTTGATTTGGTGGTCGGGCTCGCATATCACAATGACCCAACGAGTTATACTTGTTCTTTGAGGTTGTATCATGTCAGAGAAGTCGTTTGGGTAGCGATGAGACAAAAACCAGATACCCTTATAATGTAAGTTGCCACATTATAAATTGAACCCGAAGACGAATTAGTAGTGCTGACTGGACAGGGTTTGACAGCAGTAAAGTGTTTCCTACAGATGACCAGCAGAGTGGCATGCTAATACCTTCGGTTGTTTTGACTGCATTCACTTATCTTCATCCTTCACCTCACTACCTTTTTACTTGATGTGCTGATATGAGGTGTGGCAACTCGGACCGTTACGCAGTAATGCCTGGTCCTATGTTGATAATGATGATGATGATGACCTTCCCTATAGGAAGCAGATATTAGGAAATTTCTGTCTATAAAATAGAACACTTCTGCTTGTTCTGAGATATTCAGATACCAGTAGTTTGGACGTTCTAGCTAGATTTATGACAAAGTAAAATCTCAAAATCCCAAAACGTCTGTGTGTGGTTGACCTCAAACAGATATCCCTTAAGCTCTGTTGTCACACTAAATTGACCCATTTTCTCCTTCAGATATCTCGGAGAAACAATTTTCACGGTTTCCGCGGCTGGGAAGAACCAATTGCTTATGCGATCTAACCACCTACAAAATGCACTCAACCACAACTTGTATTTCTTATTTTTGTCCCCTCTCCTCGCCTTCATTTTCTGATACCTACATTAAAACCCCGTATGACTTCTTCAACTTCCCACCCTACTACCATTACTAACAATCAAAGACAGCGAAGCACCATTCCTATTCTCTTGATACTCTTCTGTGGGTTTCACATTACAGCCTTCATTATCTGAACCTATGTCGAGTAGGAAAACAGACGACTGTTGCTGAAACTGGAATCTCGAGCCTGTGTGCGGTTATTCACTTGACCTCACTTGGTCAGTTTGATGATAATTGAAAATCCACATTACGATTGTCTGAATATTCAATCGCTAGCTCTCTTCGACTCGTTGGTATAGGTGTAACATAAAGTTATAGAACAAAGTGTACTTCTCGATTGGGTACAAGTCAACAGCCGTCTATGTGCTATCCTGCTGAATGGATTTGTAAGACCTAGGAAGGATCATGAGAATTGGTGATGCCTACTCATAATCTTCGCTTACGTGTCGACTATAGTTCAGATAATACAATGGATGAATTCCACGAAGTTGTCAATGTTGCTACATAAAGTGAAACGTTGAGATATAGTCACAAGGGCAGGTAACTTTAACGCTGAAGTAGGGAGTCTGAGTCAATTGAAAGGGTGTCGTGGAGGTATCAACGGAACTTCATTCCCACGAAATGACAGCGGTGGTCGTCTGTTGCTACTTTTTCTTCCAATCGCTGGTTTTTGACTTTCATTAACTTCAGGCCTAAAGAGAGACACTGTCTCATGAAAGATGCAGACGGATTGTATTGCTATGAGATATCTTTGGAAGATAGTCACTGTTTCTGGAGTACCCGCTTGTACTCCAGCTACGTGTCTGTGTACACTCTACTGGTCGAAGAAAGCAGGCAGCAATGGAGCTTGTGTGTGTTCGATTGAAGGATAAAGACATCAAGTGTATATAAAGGGCGAAGGTGACTTGGCATTTCTCTAAAATTGAAAACAATTATATTCATTATGAAGCCTGGCATAATATTCAGTCTGCTGTAAAAACAGCGGTAAAGACAGCTGGCAACGTATATCCGAAAGTTTGCAAAAGCCAGTTTATTCCACAACCCCGTTTGAACTGACTGGTGTGAGAAGACTGACTCCATCTGGCTCTGACCACAATGGGGAGGGAAAGCAACTTTAACGTAAATTGACCATGAGTGTACGCAATGATGGCGAGCAGTGGTAGGTGGCTTAAGCGATAAAGGTAGAGAAGGCATCAGCACTAGGCAATACTCGGCAATTATTTTGGCTTAATTAGAATACTGGCAAGTAGAAGACGATGGTGGATGATTCGGTGATAACTTCGTGGGATAAGCAGATAAAACATTGAGCAGCACACTTTGAAGCCCAGTTCAACTAACCTATACTTAACCTACACGGGATCTATATGTCGGTTGGCAAATTTTACTCACAATTTCTATATCAGTGGGATTCTAGTGGTTGAGTGGTTCATGCCTGTTGGTTTATTAATAAATGAACCTTACCCTGTCCAAAGTTGTCATATTTTAGTTCAAGTAAGCCTTGATTCTTCATCTTGCGTTTATGTGACTTAAAACATATGAGGGTTTTTAATGTAGTTAGTGTATCGGCCTAGTAAAAATATGTGGTTTTCGTGCGTTGTGCGCAGGTGATCCTTAGGTGGGAAAGTAGAAGGTGGAGTTTTACCCCCGAAATTATGCATCTGTGACTGAGTTTAGTAAAAGTGGAGAGCAAACATCGTTGAACAACATAATGTAATATATTTACGGTAAAGAATACAATGGAGTGCCCGAAGAAAGAAATTTTGGCGATAGGCATCAAGATTAGAAGTCGCAAAACCTCTTAGTCGACTTGGTTAAGTGGTTCACATATGGAAACGAATATGGCTGCAGTTGAGTATTGGTAAGCATACTTGTATTATGGTAGCTGGTTATAAAATCTAACTTGAAGTTTTCATTGTTTTATTTTTGTTGTACTTAAACTATAGTATGTGGTCTGCCAAAGATCCCTTGATCATGGAAACTATGTTGGTTAAGATGATTTTTTTGTAACTGGAAAACGATGATTTTCCTTTTTTCCCATGTGCTGTAGCAGCGATATGTACTTTATTCTTGTACCTTATACCAATGAGTCATTGCTAGGCATCATTACCGAAAGCTTCCACACAATTCATCAAGATCTTATTTTTTCTGCTTTTATTAAAATTTTTACTTACTGTTCAGAAAATAACACACTCTGTAAACTTTTTTAGTATGGCAGCACTATGTATTAATTGTTGTACGTTAATTCAAGAACGTTCTCAAGGATACCAATCTTCAGAAAGCAGAAGGAGTAGATAGAGCATTGCTTTTGCAATTTTAGCTAAATAGAAATCAAAGAATAGGTTATCTTTTAAAGAACATTATTCATCACGCCTAAGATGTAGTTGGATACGTCTCAGTAACGTTTATTAGGTGTGGTAGAACTACTGTTTGAAACTAGGTACGACATATTAGGTAGGGAAGTCCAAATCACTCGATAAGACTGTGAATCTTGAGAGACTAAGGAAATATTAACATGTGTTGCGCATGCCGAACTGCCACCTACCTTGATTTATGTTTTTAGTTGGAGTTAGATTGCCAGAAGCCGGGGTGGTCAGAATAAGGCGTGACACCAATCTATGAAGTCTCCGACTGTTTGTACAAGCTTTTCTGGGAGGCACAGGCTGCTTCAGTGAGGTTATTGGGGTGTTCGAAACTATTGATTGGAGACTTCTGACGTAATTTCATATTGGTCACTGTAGTGTGAATGTATAAACTTTTTTATCTTAGAAATTTCAAAAGTTTTGTGGACATGTTTGTTCCCTTCTCTTGCTTCAACTACTTGTGTATTTTAATACTAGTTTATTTTTTGGTTCAGTTCCTCTTTCTGAGCTACTTTGAAGTGTGGTAACTTGGACTAATGCTCTTCCCTATAAGGTTCTACTTTGATTTGTCGTCCTGTGGATCTCTAACGCGTTCAGATTCAGAACGTTTAGGTAATGCAAAGAGTTAGTGATGATATCGGCCTTGTAGATCGCTTACTTTTTACCTTTGAAATTACCAGTAGTAGTAACTGACTCATTTATCAAAGTTATTTTCACGATATTTAGGTTTTTTTAGTCAAATGTTTTCCATTTTTCGATCTTATATACTGTGCTTTTCTACTAAACCATATTGTATGGTACTAAGTTAAGACGGTAGCACTTATACAATATATCCTCTTCATCTTTGAAAGGGTCTTCTGTAGGGACGTAAGTTGTAGTTATGCCAAGTAAAACCTAGCAATCAAATCACGGAAGTTGTATTCATACCAGCATCTGCTGGTTTAAAGTCATTAACTTTTAACGATATTTTAACCAGGCTTCATAAGTTAATAAGAGCTGGCGGTGACGGACATCGTGTGGTGTGATTTGAAATCGATCAAAGTACCCTGAATGACTTTGCTCTGTTGTCTGTTAAACCTTTTTTCTCCCTCACTTTCTCAAATTCTTTTCTCAGTTCACTTTACTGTTTTTTCTTGTTATCATTCCTCTAAGTGAATGGAGTTTAAAAAGTCGTCAGTACAAATCTGTGCACTATTGTACTAGGCTTGGCGGCTCTTATTGGAGAAGAAGGTCACCAAACAGTTTGCAAATGTCTTCCTGTATGGACTTCGTAGTACTAGAGGTTCAATTGCATTTTACGTTAATAACCATGTCACTATCGAAATTGTTCTTGATACTGTTTTTTTTTTGACACCCAGAACATTCATCTTAAATACACCAACTGATCCAACATCTATCCACTTGAAAGTTATATCACACGTTGTCTTTAATTATGAAGAGTATACTTCCGTATCCTGATTTCTTCATTTTGTTTTCTTTTGTTTATTTAATTTCACATGAGCTGAGGGTTTCAACTAATTATTATCACTTTATTATTCTGTGTATCTTTTAGTCATAATAAGAGATGTTAACGAAAGTGTATTTTACTGATTGTTTGCTTTTGGTTAAATTATATTCGTTTACTAGGTAACATCGTCGCTAACATGTTACTCAGAAATCAATTCAAAAGTACGTGAAACTCCATTTAGCAACCGTTCAGCAACGTTTCTAAGTAAACAAGGTACTCCACCGAAAGAACTTACAAAACCTTTAACTATTGAAACGAAATTGTGGTGTGATTCTGCAGAAAATGTTAGCACTGGGGAGTCGGCAACTTCTGCTAATAATGAAATGTACCTTACAGGTTCATCGGTTACTTCATCTACTGAAATGGGTGGTATGGTTTCAGACTCTCGTCCTCAAACACGAGCGCTGACTAGAGCATCTTTAAAACAAAACTTACATATCTCCGCACCAATTCCAATTGAAGAACGAACATCCAATACCAAAATGACATTAGAAAATGTGCAGTCAATGAAATCTGATCAAATGCATCATGATTCCAGCATAAACTCATCGAGTGTGTGCGATCTGCATATATTACCCAAGCTTTCTTTGTCCACAGAAAATTCTCCTACAACTCCAACATTTTCAGCTGAATGTAAGTATAAATTCACGTTTCCGATTGTGATGTGTTTTTGTGTGTCAGTGAGACACTTTTTGAAGTGAATTGCATCAATTATTTTGCTCTTACCTATTGTTTATAATTTGAATTCTTTAAATACTTCAAGTAGATACGTATCAAACTGAAAAAATGTTTAGCATTTATGTGTATGATAATTTTCTACTTACACTTCTTGCAGGAATGGGATGATAATAATAATTTATCTCCTAGTTCATGCCAGCTAAGAGATGATGGAATATTTTGCATATATTCGTCGTTATAGAATAGGACGTTTTTCTCTGATTGCATTTCAAGTTCACTGACTGTGATCAAACTTTCAGATATAGGATGTTTATGTGGTGTCGTGTTTTCCTTATCCTGTTAAAGCCTACACCTTTTGTAATCTTATGTCATATGAGGACACACTACTGAATATATATTTTTCTGACAGATCATTTATTAAATTTTGAGGGAGTTGTGGAGATTTGGAATTATTTCAAGTGGGTGCGCACTGCTGAGGAGTCCCATACTAGGACGAAACAGCTGTCCAGTGCTCCCAGGTTTCCTTTGTTCCTCCAACTGATGTCAGTCTACTTGAGATCATTTATTTGATGGGTTGTAGATAAGTGTATTTATAAGGATGATCAATTTTCCATGGTTTACGGTGACATTTTTTAAAACTTGAAGTTTTTCAACTGTCCTACTGTGGTATGTCAACAGGGTTTCGTTTGGAAACCATCTAGTTCATGTTATAAAGTGGGATCTCTAACGCTAAGTGTCACAAACTAACGAAATTCACTGCTGGATAACATGAGTAGTTAGAAACCACCAAGACCAATCTGTAGATTTCTTATCCGGCTAGTGCAATCTACACCTCGTGATCTTGACTGGACACTACAAGTGAACAATGGAACTGTGGCTCATTAGTTTATGGAGATGACTTCCGACCAATGGGTCACGAGTTTTAACATGTGAAATGTACCTTCAGTTGAAAGACAGGTGTTAAAGTATACTTAAAAAACGTTAACCAATAGGAGGAGAACAGCATCACAGTCAGTACGGCATGGGGATAATAGCTGAAAAGTAGGGGACATTCGGTACTCTGGAAAATTAAATTAGTAAGTACATTTGATTAAAGATAATTTTTGTACTAAGCAGTTGATTTATCATTAGGTGATAATGAGCCAAGATTTTTCGGAACTCTGATGTGACTTGACTGATGCCACCGTTTGCTCGCTTTGGTGTACCATATGGTTGGGAATTAGGTGTGCCTGTTAAAGAAAGGATTATAAGAATACTTAAAGTGACCAACGGCCGTTACCTACTTAGCATCGTCTGTATGGTGGAACTACCACGTGAGCTATGTTAAGGTTATGCGTAGTGTTCTAGATAGAAGTAGGTAAGTCAATGAAGTTGTAAGCCTTCATCAACTGAGGTGGTTAGGCCTTATGTTACTTATTTCAAGCGACTGTCTACTTCAAGGTAATATTATGTGGATTAGGATTATGTTGGAAAAAAGTAAATGGCTGTCAAACTGAAACATGAAACCACTCCATGAATTCTCTGACTATTTTTTGAACCATGTTTGAAAACATTGATTTCCAAATTGAAGTTCACGTCGCAACCGAAATTGAATGTTGAAGACTAGGCCAAAAATCGATTTCGGTGGCGCATATGTATCTACAATTTATCTTCAACTGGACCATTTTGTCAAATTTCTTTATTTACCTTACATCATGATCCATTTATATCCATGTTTGGTCGATTGTGGACTCTGACTTTGTTAGACAACGTTACTAGTCAAAGATATTTTGAAGCTGCATCGCATAGTTCTCACAATCCTCCTGGTAACTGAAAGATCTTATATACCACTAAGAAATCGTTACTTCAAGTCTTCAGCGTATACATTGAGTTTTTCAACTTCTCAATATCTCTTTGGGGAACATGTTAGAAGTTACGTAGCTGATAATGTCAATCATTCTTGGTTGCACATCGACTGCATTCCTTTTGGGCATAGAAGAGATAAATAAAGTCACTCTTCCTCATGTCACTTAGTTCTTATTTCAAGTAAAGCTTTCAACCTAACAAAAATAGTGTTGGTTTAGTCATATTCACTGATATCCGCATAGGTGCGTGTAAAGTATACATTTATAACTGAAAATATCAAACTTTTAACCATTCTGCATTATGATTTTGGTCCCAGGACTCCAGGGTATGACATCTATCAACTTGAAGTATTTTATTGATGTCACCAAGTGTACTACTTGACGCGAACAATATTTACTGCAAGCGCAAAGATCACACTTGATTCCAGAATACCTGTTAGTTGTCTCATTCACGAACCGCTTTAGAGGAGCAACTATCTTTCAAACATAATGCTGGTTTAATTAGCCCTTATTCAAATGGAACGGAAAATGAATTGTTTGACAACTTACCCATAAAGATATGATAATTTAAGGTATCCATATTAACTTACAGGAGTGTTTCGCATTGTTCATTATACCCCGCCTATCAGTTCTTGTCACCTGTATAAAATCAGTCTCAGAGATCTTCCTCCTGATCATGCTTATCGTTACGTGTCTGTACTTCAAATTACCGCTATCCTGACCGCATCTTTAATGACTGCTTCGCTTCCTTTTGTCGCTTCTGTCGGTGTTCATTACCGTGAACTTTCATTTATCATCTGAATTTTAGTAAACATATGTAATATTTCGGAGATCTTCACATATATTATGCTGGATATAGCGACAGTTTTATCAGCTAGAACTCTAAAATATCTTCCTCTGAATGTATTTTATGTTTTTTACTGGTCTCTGGCCGTCACTTGTGCCTTCGAGTCGACGATTTGTTAAGAACTTAGTCAGACTAAGCCAAAAAATTAATGCTTATATGTGTTCTTGGTGTTCACACCTGCTGACTGATCACTAAGAGTTGGGAAGTTTAAGGGTTATTGAAAGCAACGAAGTTCATTGAATGTAATGTAATAGTTTACCGTTTCAGTATTTTAAGCTGATCGCCGCTATATCATTGAATTGATTCTTATGACGGTTACTATAAGAGATCCTATGATATCTTAATCAAGCTAACAGATAACAGAACCAATTGACCGCTTTCGGTGCTTGACTTATATTAAGCATACTTTGGTCTCTGTGACGTTTTAACAAGGATCAAATGTAAACGAGACAATGAGTCACACACATTATACAAAGGTTAATAATACCATCTAGCAACCTTAATCTCATTTGATAAGTGAAGGTTGGAATCCGTGACCTACTCACTAAAAGTTAACTGCACAGTCAAATGATACAGACCTCCAGTCGTGCAACTGTGATTTATGGCTATACAGAATAAGAATGTCGGCTGTTCGAAATGCAGTCGAAAAATGATATCAAACTTGATAAAAAAAAACCCTTTTTTATACCTATTAACGATCTTGCGGTAGATTTGTGTGGTGGGTGCTAGTGACATTAAATGGATTGTAATTACAAGATGTTGAACAGATTGCAATACTTTGGAGGAACCATATACTGTATTATTTAATGACAAATTTTTAAAAAACTAAACGTAAAATATAGTAATAAACCTTTAAGACGTAATAAAAATACACGCATATTGTTATTTGTAATAATACGCAATATTATTCTTGTGCATAATCAATACTTATTGTTTGTTCATACTTTTTGTGTGACAGCAAATGACGGTAAAAAAAATTGTACGTGCTTACTTGAATAGTCTACTTTAGTTTGTAGCATTTAAAGATTAGTAGATTAAAGTATTTTGATACTGCTTTTCTTGTTGCATCTTTTTAGAATATGAATATTTATCAAATTATATCACTTCAGTTCTTACATGTTTTCATTTGTTTTTACTTAATAAAAATAGCGAACATTTCAACTGTATCCACTGTTGTTACTGGCTCGCATCGTGGATCAAAATATCCAACTAGGTCATCTACTCGAATGGACACTCTTGCTTCGCATAATTTAGCTAATCTTCGTTCAAATCCTGTCACTGTTCAAAGTAACATCAGTCCATCAAAAGTAAACAGAACCACGTCTTTTGAACAAAATACCATTACTGCTGCTGCTAATAATAATATTGCTACTACAACCACTCCTGTTGTTGTGAATACTAGTAGTAATACTGATCTTTCAAAATACATGTCACCTTTTACATATAGCTGTACAAAACTAAAAAATTCACCAAGTTTATACCCACCGTTAAGTGTAGAGGAATTAAACATCTTATTACATAAAATAGATGAACAAATTAAAATCTGTATTCATGCTTTGATTGAAGAAGAGGAAAAGCGTCGATCTTATCGTATTGATGATGCTAGACGCGTACATAATTATGAACCATTTATACGGGCTTTCCTCACTGCTCTTGCTAGACATGGAATGTTAAAAAATCAAATATTATCTGCCATGCAATTAAAAAATTCCTCGAGTAGTAATCAAAATCATAATTTATCTATTCAAGTATCAGATAGTTGTAAAAAGTCGAATATAAAAAAATCTATGAATGATAAACATATCATTAGTAAATCTCATGCTGGACGGATCTATTCATTCTCCAATACTGGTTCGATAAAAAATAGAACTTTTCGTTCAAATTCATTGGTGAACAGATTAACTCGAGTTAATTCATCTACAAATAATATCAATAAAATTCGTGTTTCTCATCATTATAGTTCTTTAAATTACCGTAAACTACGAACACGAAACAGGAAAAATCATATCAAAAATTTGGACTCAAATTGTGCTGTAAAGTGTACAGTTTCAGGTGATTCACAACCGTCTCTTATACAAGTATCCAATAATAATAATCCATCATATAATGAATCTTCTGCAACAATCATTTCTACTGATAACAGTTTGTCGTGTAATGCACTATCAAAAGAAATTGGTTCAATTAATTCTCCCGTTACACGTCAAACATCAACTATATCTACTCAAAACAGAAATTCTTGTGCAGTACGAAGTGGTGTAGACCAGCAGCATGATGATGAGACTGGTGGTTCCGTTTCGGAAGATGCGTTCGTTAATTCGAACGGCAACTTATGTACAGTTAACTGTCAAAAGTCCGCTGTAGTTGTGGATGAAAACATTATAGTTGAAGGTAATTTACTTATTTCAACTGTATCATCAGTAACAGTGGCATCTTGTTCATCTTGTGGTTCATCTCCTCAGTCATCTAATTCTTCTCGGTCAACTAATCTTCGATCTGGTTCATGCGGTGTAAAACTAAGGCAGGCTAATTCAGATATCATCAATAACAAGCGGTCTTTACGTCCACGTACGTCACGTGAACGCGTTTCTACACGAGTTACACATCATTCGACTGATTCAGTCAGTGTAACATCAGAAGAACCCGAAACAAGCAACGTTGGAATTAATTTAAGGGGTAGGACACCGAAATCCTCTTCACGTATAAATGTTACTGATTATACAAAGAGCACTGTCATAGATTCGTCTACTTCATCAAATCCTCAACGATTTCGTAAACGACGTCTTCACTGATATTGTGAATTTATTTTTATCGAATACTCTTTCCTGATTGTCTTTCTGTGTAATTACAGGTGCATTATCACCACTGCAATGAATACAACAGTTGTTGTTATGATTACTGTAGTTCACATCTTCCCATTGTATCTTACTCATATCTCTCCTTATATTTTTATCGTTTCTACTTATCGACTGTAAAGTTTCTTTCTGTAACGCGATAATTATCTACGTGAGCGGAAATTTTTCGGCATATTATTGCCGTCATTACCAGTGCTATGCCTACTACATGATTTCAAGTTGGTTTGTGTTTCCGTATATATTATTTTAACTTAGTTCACAGTCAAATATTATACTATATGGAATGGATACCGCAACTTATTATTTTTTTAATTTTACTTTCTCTTCAATATATGCCCATATTTTGTGTGCGTAAGAGAAGAAGACGAAAAATTCTGTCAGCTGAGTAGTAGTTGTTCAATACTTATTAGGACTGTATTATACATAATTTAATTTTCATTACTTTTCAACTTTTTTTTTTTAAACCTGCATTCTTTTTCACAGTATACAAATAGTGATTATATGTTACCGCTCTTGAATGTGTACAGTACTGTTAAATAATAGTTTAAACAACTTGTTAATGTTTTTTTTCTTCTTATCTGGTCTATATGAAAATGTTTTTTTGCGAACAAAGTGTACATATCTGTCCATCTATCTATTCAAGCATATTTTCCTTATCCTATGTTTTCCTGTCTGGAATACATTAGTGTATTTCACATCGCTTATGTACATGTTCTTCTTTTTATCTGTCCCTATATATTACTCTTATGGTAGTACATTTATTTTCAATAATAAAGTTTAGCTTTACAAGAGATTGTACATTTTCGTACATGTGGTCGTGTGTGTTTGTTCACCTGTCAGCTTGTATTCTTTCGTTATTACATTGAACATGTAATCTTTTTATTTTCTTACTGCTTTAACTGAGAGTTGGTTTCAGTAAAGTAGATATTTGTATAGTTAATGAAATGACTTAAACTGTGGTAACAGACGTTCTCTTCCTCCTTTTTATTATATTGTTAGTTGTTATTTTGTTTTCTTTGCTTGTTGTTTTTCCTCGTGAATGTTTTTTTTCTAAAACTGGAGACAACTTGCCATTAGTTCACTAATCAAGCAATCGATCAATTGTGCAGAACAGAAAACATCAGGTTGTTTTTTTTACGTTACCTTTACTTATCAATACTGGTACTATTATTATCATCACCGCGGCAACTACTACTGTTAACACTATTAAGTAGTAATAATTTATCTTGTTTTCATTTATTTTTCGTTTGGAGAGTAGTAACCAATTATCATATGAATAGTGATTATTTACTAATGATAGATAACTACGGTCAGCATTATTCTGATTTCATAAGAGAATTTTTCCGCTCATATGCATGGGCTGACTGGCGGTTTTTGTTCTCATCGTGTTTTGTTTCATACTTCTCTTTTAACAGAAATTTAAAAGCAGCAAAATCGATTCTTTATCCATTTTTGTTTTTTCTTGTTCATAGGTCCAGTATGCTTTTCAAAGTATGTGCTAGTGGGAACTTTAATGTGTTGTATGCGTTTAGTATATATTCACTTGAACAAGAGTAATAGTAAAACGTCAGTCAATATACAGACATGAAATAGTAGTTATACCAATGATGGAATCGTTGATGATTGACGATAATGCAACGTCATCAATTTTTTTTTTGGTTTTGGTTAGAGTTTTAAAGGATTTTATAGTTATTTAACACTCATGATACTTCTAAAGCAGGTTCTTTAAAATCATCTACTGATTAAATTTTGCACAGATTGTCACACTTTGAAAGTATGAAATTAGATTGAAATCACTGGATACTTGTCACTTTAAACTCCGCGTTGATATATTTCCAGGAAGGGCACCTTTTGTGTACGACATTAGCTTTCATTTTATATGAATCGGTGCGCTTAGTAAATCTAATACAGTTCAGTCAAATTTATTCTCCATCTATTACTTTGACTAGTTGTAGCAAATATTTTCCTGCCACTAATTATTACGCATATCAAAGGGCTTAAAGTTGACCATAGATATGATGGAATTTCGGCGGTGTTTATCATTAAAAAAGAAGAACAGCCTCAAAGGTGTGTATTTCGTTACTTTTCTTTATTTTAGTCCTAGGCATTTATGGGTGTGGAGATTTAGACAGGTCATCTGATTTAGTTAACGTTCAGTGTGCAGAGACATTTTTTATTTCTTGCCTGTTTCACATAAATTACGCTTAAAGTATTTTTTTTAACATAACCACTAGGATGTGAAGTTCTGTCGTAAGGTGTAATCTCCATTAGCTTTAATTATATGCGTTTCTATCGATCAAAGAAAAGTGATTTTTCGTAAGATGCAGCCATTATTATTATTATTTGTCTCTTGGGTTCCTAGTGGGACATAGGGCTTCAGTAGCAAGTCTCCATTGCACTCTCTTCTCTGCAGTCTTTTCAACCTGGCTCCACGACTGCCCATAAGCTTTCATTTCACATGATCTCCTCCGTGTCATCCTCGGACGCCCAACTCCTTGTTTCCCCTTTGAATTACACTCGACGGCCTGACCTGATGCGTGACGTCTCTGAATAGTTTTCTCAGTGTATGCCCAATCAAAACCAATCCATCTCCACTTTCTTCTGCATATTTGTTGGGCGATGGGTTCTTGTTTGGTTCGTTGCCAGGTCAGAGTTCCTTGTTGCTTATCCTTATTATTCTGGCCATCTGATCTGATATTCAGTATCGAGTGAGCATAGGTGTAGGTGTAGGCGTAGGCGGCAGGTGTTGATGAGGTATGTCTGTAGTTAGTTGGAAATGCTTTCCGTGACGCGCCTTGTTTCTGAACCATCCATCCATCACATAGAAGCACTGACTTAACGTTGGTGTTGAAAATGAGGATCTTGTTCACGCTTCATGCTGAGTGCAGGTCAGTGCATTAGATGTGCACACTGGTTTCAGATTAGTGTAGGAAGGCGTGTCTTGTCTTGCTGTCCCTCCGATCCTGACTGCTTTGACATCCTAATCTGTGCCGCCGCCACTACGGCCACCGCCTTCGCTGCCTGTAGTTGAAAGGATGCTGCCTTGCCTGGGTAGGTGTAGGTGTAGGTGAAAGAGACTACTTCCTTTAGTTTTCCCCCGTTCATGGTGATCGGTGCTTGTTGTTGTTGTTGTTGTTGTTGTTGGTGGTGGTGGTGGTGGTTGGATATCTTCATCACCTCTGTCTTCTGTACATTCACTTGAAGGAAGTCGCGTCTTGTTTCGCTGCCCTGCCTCTTCTGTCAACTTGTTGGTTTTTGCCTGTAGATCTTCGAGTTTGTGCTACATTACGCATCAGGTATAAATCATCATCATCGTTGGCGGTGGTGGTGGTGGCGGTGGCGGCGAAATCCAAATCTTCTAGGGTCTTTCATCGCATCGGTCTAGCCAGTGTATGCCCATCTTCTCACAGTTTGTTGCATGACCCTGTTGAGTTGAGTCAAATCGAGTGGAGTTGAGTGGACCACAATCAGGAAGATAATCGGTGATAGTAGGCGACAGCCTTGTCTTACTCCTGTCTTCACTTCCACTTGAAAGGCGTCACTGAGTTTTCTATTGTGAATCACTCGTCGTGCAGCATCATGAAGCATATAGCTGCTGTTGAGTCAAGTTGACAAAGGTTTGTGGCACTGAAACCGTAGTGTAGAATGAGTTGACAAATTACTTCTCGGTCGACGCTGTTGAAGGGCTTTACAAAGTGGATGAAGTAGAGAGGTGGGGAGTTGCCGTTCTGCCATTTTATGCTATGCTATGCTATGCTATGCTGTGTTCTATGATGATGCGTAGGGTGGCGTGGTGTGGCGTTGCAATTTGATTGGCACATGATTTGTTTTTCCTGAATTCAGCCAGCCAGCCTGTCCCGGTTGTAATTTTGAATGCAGCACATGTTTTAATCTCTCCAGGATGATGCGGCATAATATTTTGCTTGTAGTGACAGTGACAGGAGCATGATTCTGTGGCAGTTCTTGTGTTGACTTGGGTCTCCCTTGTTAGAGAGTTTGACAAGGTAGCCCTTCTTCTAATCGATCAGCAGGTGCCTTTCCTTCCTTCCTTCCTCCCTTTCTTGCAAAGCTTCTGCAATAGTGGTGTGAGCGTGTTCGGTGTTGTCTGTGCGTGTGTGTGTTTTCAGTGTTTCTGGATGAATTCCATGTGGTCCCACTGCTTTCCTGTCTGTCAGTGACTTCATGGTGTTCATGACTTCGAGTTTTGTTGGAGGGCTTGTGTTGACTGATAATTCTGTGTCTGGGCTGCTGGTGGTATTTCTGGACAAGTTGCAGGTGGTGGCGGTGGTGGTCGATTTTAGAGTTCTTCGAAGTGATTAGCCCATCGTTTCCTTTGTTTCTCCTCTTTGCTAACTAGGTTTCCTTCACTATCGTTCATTGGTTTCATCTGCATTGATCTCTTCCCTCCCAGATAGTAACCTGGTTATTTGATATAGTGTTGTCAGGTGTCTGTCTCTCCTATGTGCAGCGTGTTCTGCTTCACTTGTCAGTGTGTTGTAGAAGTGTCTTGTGTCTTTGCGTGCATTGTTGTTCACTTCTTTGTCCAATGTAGTGTTTTATGGGGTGTGTTCAGTTCCTCTTATCGTTGTTCATCCCTGCACTGCACTGCACATATTTATCTTCTGCTTCAACATCTTCCTCTCATCTATCAGCTTCCATGTGTCCGTGTCCGTGTCCATTCCTTGTCTTGTCCTGCTACTTCTTCCTTCCTAACACGTTTATGCAGGTTGCCGTCCACATCTCTTTCAAAGAGTTCCAGTGTTGTCCCACCCCTGATCGTTCAGGGATGTTGCTCAATGTCTCCCATTTTTTCGTGATGGCCGACTGACGTGAAGGTGTTCTCTGTAGTTTTGTGCTTCAGTTTCTGTGTTGGGTGTTGAACTTGAGCTGTGGCCTATCATCACCAGCTTGTTTTAAGGCTTTCAGCTTGATTTTGAAGGTAGGCTTCTTGCACTAGATAGTGAGTAGTTTTAACCTACATCTGCTCCCTTTCATGGTGTTGTGTCCAGTAGGCTGTGTCTCCACTTTCTTGAGATTGAGATGCAGTCGATCTGGTTTTTATTGTGTCATGTTGTCTGGTGAAATCCATGTCACTTTGTGAATATCCTTGTGTCTCCAATCACCAAATCGTTGAATGCGCAGAAGTCTGCAAACAGTTTTGCATTCTCGTTCATTTCACTGAGTGACTCTGGATCTATGATCAGTTCTCTTCCTGTGTTGTCCGTTCGCAGTTTGGCATTCATGCCACCCATTGTAATGAATTTTGATGTCGCCATCTGGTGTGGGGTCTTGTCTATTACTGATTGAAGTTGTTTGTAGAACTCCTTCTTCTTCTCTTCATCTGCATTATTTTTTTAGATGCGTAGCATATCATTGTATGATTGTGGCTTTCCTTCCGTTTGAGTTTAATCTTGCTGTCACGATCCTGAAGCTGAAGGAGATCTTTTCCCATCGTATGAGAAAGTGCCTTCGATGCCTTTGGGGACATCATCATAGCCACTCGAAAACTCAGTGTGCTCGTGTTTGTCTGTGTGACAATATCTGAGTAGATTATTGACTCTGCAGTTGACAGTTTGACAAGTCCACTTCCATTCCATCTGATTTTGCAGATTCCTAGCATTTCTATGCTATATCCCATTTCTTTTGCAATCTGGGCAACCACCTTCAAACATTGTGTGGACATTCCATGTCCCAATTATCACTTTCGCTTTCATCGAGAAAAGACACATTGGCTAATTGGCTTCCTGAAGGCTTTTCCCAACCAGTGTCATTTTGTCTCCCCTATTCCAGCGGGGAATAAGTTTATTTCTAATTTTTTTTCTGTGCATTGTAGTTTTTTTAAGGATTGGATTGGTTTTACGAGCTAGGGTTGCTAGCCCTATGCCGAACCTTCACTCTTTATCCGGGCTTAGAACAGTCTAGTAACTAGTGCACTAGTTAACCAGGGCATGCTTTTATTGTCGGAAGCGGTTAGACCAGTTGAATTAGGCTTTATAAGGTAAGAGATCTGTTGATTGAGTATTATGACCTTTATCGTCACTAGTTATAACCCTGTTGTCATCTGCATTGATCTCTTCCCTCCCAGATAGTAACCTGGTTATTTGATATAGTGTTGTCAGGTGTCTGTCTCTCAACGATGACATTAGGTGGCGGTTCGCGCTATATCGTGAGCTAACAGAAGTTGGAAATATGGAGCATCGGATTCTGACCCAGTGGCTCAATGGTAACGCGCTGGTCGCGGAACCTGAAGGTCGCGGGTTCGATCCCCGCTGGTGGGGTCGTGGGTGCGCACTGCTGAGGAGTCCCATGCTAGGACGAAACAGCTGTCCAGTGCTCCCAGGTTTCCTTTGTTCCTCCAACTGATGTCAGTCTTCGATGAATAACAACTTGAAACATTTCCAAATCTCCACAACCCCCTCAAAATTTAATTGAACTAGTGCTCGTTGGTGACTAGCTTCGAGAAGTATTCCCGAAGTTCCAATGACAAGTCGTGACCGGTGGAGTCAAGCCTGATGGCCGTGAGGACAAATACTCAAGGATGACATTAGGTGGCGGTTCGCGCTATATCGTGAGCTAACAGAAGTTGGAAAT